TGTGACTTTGTCATGGCAGCCCTAGCAAACTAATACAGTACCTGTCCTCTATGCATATTGGTTTGTTCTCATCATTATTCCTCTTAGATTATACTTTTCGAGAACTTGCTAAACATTTCCACTTCTTGCTAATCACTTTTTTTATGTCCATGTACTACATCAGCAGCCTTTAAGGGCCTGTAGGAATCAAAGAACTCTTGAAGGAATGGGAAGAACAAAAAGGACATTCTATATTCAGCGGTTTCCCCATTCGGGAGATGAAATGATAATATTATCATTTGGGACTGTGAAAAAGCCTGGACAATTCTGTTTCTTTTTCAGTTGCCAATGACTTGGGAGAATTGCTTCTCATCAACTGTACAAGGGCATGATGGGGCTGGGGGAAGGAACCAAACTAAGGGCCAACTCTTGGGTTTTCTCCTCAGGGCTCTGAATCGTCAGTAAAGTGATGTTAGCATGGGAAGATAGTTGGTAAAAATTTATTTCAGTAGTGGTGGCCTGCAAAGATTTATCATTATTTCTTACTACTGGGATTTTAAAAAAAAATGAAGTTCTTTATCATATCCATTAGTTTTGCCATCTTACTATCCTAGTAAGCTTCTTTTCCACTTAAAACAGGTAGAGTCGCAGTGTATTCATTTTCATGGGGGTGTAGCTAAAATTCAGAAACCTTAAAATCTATCCGGCTCAGCCCCACAGATACTCATATAGATGCCTATGTCCCTCATACTTATAAACATCCACCATTCCCCAACTGATAAAATAGAAGATACAGGAATATATATATATATATATATATATATATATATATATATATATCTTGATAAACACCACAGATACGGAAGGGAGGGAGGTAAATTTTGTCAGGTCCAGGAAATAATCCCTCAAGTATATCTGTCCTGGAGGAACGGTATGGTGCTTCAATCACAAAAAGTCATTCTGTGAGGCAACCCAAATGGAGCATCTTAATCATGCTTTCTGATCTAGAGTTCAGGTAGAGTGAATTTACTTTCCAAAGTTTGAGAGTGAGGAGTGGGCGCTGTTAATAACACACAGGGACAATAAGTGGATTGTCCCAGGCAAAAGAGGATTGATTATCTCAGTATCCCAGAGGTTCTTAGGTGGGTATCAACCTATGAGCTGTCTGCTACGAAATAGTCATTGCCACTGTGAATTTGAAGTGGAATGTATCAAAGACTAGAAATAACTCCATCTCAGAAGATGCTTTTTTTCATTTCTATTGACCTTTTTAAGCATCAATGGTAGGTTGGGGACAGGGGGGCACTTGTCAGGGCAGATAACAAGGAAAACTACAGCATCTATAAAATGGTACCTCTTTGACTCGAAAACCTTCAGTTATTGTTGCTTGGAACCATCAACCATAACTAATACAATAACCCCTTCATAACACAGGCAGAAATCCTAGTATGTACACATACACAGCAAGTAGGCATTTGATTAATGCTTTTAATCAAGATGTTTGAGATCAAGGCAGTCCAGAAGTTAGAGTCAGCAGTCTTCCCTGCCCTGATTTATAAATTTTGACCATCCCCCGCATTATGGGCCACATTACACTTAGTGACTAATTAAATGCTTCATTTAATGGTAATAGGCATGATTGAACATATAAACTCATTATATATATATATTTTTAAAGTATCCTTGCTTCCTACTGTCACTAGCATTCTTAAGGCTACTTCTTTACCACACTCCATTTGCATAGAGTCCATACACTAAAGGATGGATACACCACATCCACTAAGTGATACACCACACCATATAATTATCCAAGTGTATGTTAGATTTACATGGGTTAGTCTTAGTTTAAGTGCGGGATCACTTTTTATAAATCTGTTGTATATTCCATATGGCCTACCTATGGAACGGGGCATTTATTTTTTTATAAAGATTTATCTATTTATTCATGAGAGACACACAGAGGAAGAGACATAGGCAGAGGGAGAAGCAGGCTCCCCACAGGGAGCCTGATGCTCACAAGACTCGATCCCAGATCCCAGGATCATGCCCTGAACCGAAGGCAGATGCTCAACTGCTGAGCCACCAGGCATTCCTGGAACAGGGCATTTAATTTGAATGCAGAAAATGCACAATCAGCTGATTTTTAAAGCAGTGTTTAATACCAATTTGTGGAAGATTCTTATTAAGGGATTCTGAGAGATTAAATCAATGGATTTCCCAAATTAGAGCAAATTGCAATGAATAATCTCAAGTCTGTTCTAATATGAATTAATATTTACTCAATGAATAAATTAGTGCACAATGTACTTTTCCTTTGGGATCTACATATCCAAACATTTATTTTAATTTTTTCACTTGCTTTGGTTTTAGAAATACTGCCTCGGGGTTTCTACATAATCACAAATTTTTGTGAAAAAATGTAAACAGCAAGTTGTGGGGAAGAAGTCATTTTTCAGTTGGTTCTATTTCATAATTTTCTTGATACTGAATTTCAGAGGTAAGTAGGCAAAATAATCAGAAGGGCAATTATGTGTGTTATTTGTAACATTTACTATTTACAAGCTATTCACAAAACAAGTAAAAATCAACAAACAAAATTGGAATGTATCACATTTGGGCCTGGTATTATATATCTGAGAAAAATTTAAATATAATAATAGAATCTTATCTCTTCACATGCTACCCTTTCAATAATGAAGTAAAAGTTTATTCCATAAGTGAATGATTCTAAACAAGCCACCCTAATCTATATATGATCGAGTACCACAATGCAAGAAATAGATTTTGAAAGGAAGGAATCTTTAAGAGATTTGGAGAATGCGAGAAAAATATTCTATTTCTTTTCACTTGGAAAGTTTTTAGTGCTTAGACCTAAAAATATGGTGAGAGTACAGTGGAGAGATGCCCATTTTATCTTGATAGCCTACTTTAATTATTGTTATTTAATCTAGGATGTTTGTGAATTTAAAAAAAATTATCTGAAATTATCACTGTCTTAAAGAGTTTATTTATTTTTTTTTTTATTTATGATAGTCACACAGAATGAGAGAGAGAGGCAGAGACATAGGCAGAGGGAGAAGCAGGCTCCATGCACCGGGAGCCCGACATGGGATTCGATCCCGGGTTTCCAGGATCGCGCCCTGGGCCAAAGGCAGGCGCCAAACCGCTGCGCCACCCAGGGATCCCTGTCTTAAAGAGTTTAATCATAGCTTTAGTATGTTTGTGTTTTTATGATGTTAATCAAATCTATCATTTCAAATTTAAAAACCATGAATGCAAAATAGTTTACTGCTTGACATGGTTTGTGTAAAGGGATTGTTTTTACTTGTTAACCTACACCTAAATAACGGAGTTATTTTCAAAACAGCCAGTAAGCTTATTATCTAAATGAACTTTTCTCCCTGCAACAATAATTGGGGCTTTGTAGATACAGTTTATACATGTTTATTTTTTTCTTTAATAAAGCCATTAAATGGCAGGGTAATACCAGGAACAATCTATTAATGAAGAAACTGCAATATGAATTATGAGAAGGCAGAAAAAACTGCATTTTTACCTTTCAATTCTAATATATAATAAGGTATTTTTAATAATACTTTAAGAATAGAAGGATCTAGATGTTTTGGAAATAGTGGTGATGGTTGTACAACATTCTGAATGTAATTAATGCCACTGAATCACACACTTAACATGGTTAAAACTACAAGTTCTAAGTTATATATACTGTACATTTTTAAAACAAAACAAAGAATTTAATATTTATGGTTATTTTAAGTATAAAGTAAAATATTTTCGTAGTATTAAAAGTAGGATAGTATTTTAAATTACAGAGTAAAAAGCAGTGCCCCCCTGTGTTGTCTCCTTTTTTCCCCCTTTTTTATTCTGCCATTTAAATTTGTTAAACTATAGGACAAGTACTTTTACTAGCTTTTCATAAAATTAAAATGTATATAAGATGTCACAGTCCCCTTTGCAGTAATGTGACATTTACAAAAAAAAAAAAATCAAGATTTCTTTATAAAATAGTTTCTATGCTTTCAATTCTACTTTCTAATTTAAACATCTGTCTCTTGCTTCTTCTGAATCATGTAAATTCAAATTTACTGTGCCTTAAAAGTTTTCTGGAAAATCTATTACTTTCAGAAGTCATGTCTAATAGCATAAATCACAGGGGCAGTGTTTACAACTTTCTGACGAATTTGATCAGTACATCTGTCTCTTTTGGGAGCGTTAAGCTGTATCCTTCTCTAGTAGGGGGGAAAAAACCCACCACCAACAAAGTGGTACTTCAATCATTTTGATTTCTAAATGCTTAAAGACTCAAAAAAAAAAATCACGGTTTGATGTTGCTGTGTTTAAATAGCACTTGATTTCTTTGTCAGATTTTTCTATAAAGACTATTCAAGAATGGTTAAAGAAATGTTTTAAGTAAGACTGTGTTTCAGCAAAATGTGAATCATTGTTACATACATTTTTAAGTATTAGAAATTTAAATCGACAAAGTAGTTAGGTCCAAGTAACAGAAAAAAAGTACAGCTTATGAATTTGCCTGTGATCACATGACATCTTGACACAAGGACGTTTTTGTTTGCCACAAGCCTAACTCAGCTTCTCCTCGAGTGAAGCCAATCAGTGATAGAGGCAGTAGCATATGTCATGCATGGTTGCTGGCTGGCACATGGGAGTCACTGAAATAATTTGGGTAGCTCCCTTCTACAAATTTCTTTCCGATATAGTTGCTGAAAGGATTAAGTGAAATAATATATTAAAAGAAATTAGGGCTTACAACTAGAAAAAGATTTATCAGACGTCCTGGGACCTAAGTTACTGGAAAGAGAATAATACATGGGAAGTGGTAGAAGGGTAGCAAAAAGATTACTCAAATGCCTTGGTCATAAATTAAATGATTAAAATGATTCAGATGATTAAGAGCAAGTCAAAAATTTAGACAACATTCATCAGTTTTAGATGTGCCACCATTCAGAGTGATCACAATAATACTTTCAGTTTCTGGGCTTTTATTTCAGATTTAAGTTTTGAGCATATTTAATTTGCTATAATCACAAATTTCATAGTATGTGTTTCCAAACCATAATTTCAATACATCCAAGTGGATTGAAAATGTCTTCTCCATAGAAATATTAAATATCATTTTAGAATGGAAGAATATTGGAGTCTACATGCAAAATAAAAACAAAAAACTGTACCCAATATATGAATTCCTGAACCATAGCTATTCTATATATAATTTAACATTCTAAAATCATTACTTCTATAAAGGTGTCCACTCTCAAACTCTATTTTTCCATAATTTTTTATAAATAAATCTAAATGAGTCTTATGTTAAAAAAAAAAAAGTTATGGTCAAGCCCTGAAAGTACCAGTTCAGTTCTAAGTATTAGGCCAAATTCCTCAGGATCCCGTCCAACACTGATATCTTAGGGAATCTTGTTATGAAATTCTTATCACAATTGCTTAATATGCTCAATAGGCTTTTTAATTCCCTTCTCTTATTTTGAACCAACTTTTTTTTTGTACAACTCTATTTTTCTCATCTTCACATCAAACTGCAACTGGAAAATAGCTCATTCACTTATTTTTAAGTTTTACTTTTCCTCTTTTAAGATACCCAGTATGAAACATTCAAATGGCCTTCTCTAATGTTTTGTCACTGTAAGTTATGGAAGTGTTGCTAGATAGACAAAGTAGCTTATTTTAGACACGCCCAAAATCTAGTTAAATGCTATTAACAGTGGGTAGTAGATTTCTGTCTTTGTCATATAGATGACTCATACTTTAGAACTAAATAGTAATCCCTTGCAGATGTTGAGATCGTATAGTAACAACTCATACTAGGACAAAAAGAAATTTATTTAAAAAATATAACTCTGGCTTGGACAACAGATTTAACTGAGCTACTACTCTGTAATTATCACACTTTTTTTCCTCTCATTACATAATATTTACATGAGCGGTTATTCAAATCATGTAAAAGCTTGATGCGATTACCAGATGCTTTAGTGGAATAGGTAAACTTGAATAGAATGCTTTCAGTACCATTTATGTGAACTAAAACTATTTCAATGGTAAACAAAAATGTTTTTCAATAACTTCCAATCCTATCTTCATCAATAAGACTTTTTGCCCATAGGTAAATCAATCCGTATTTTTACAAGTGTCTTCATCTACATGATAGGATGAGTAACACACCCTCCCCACACCCCTCCATAGCCCAGTCCTGTGAATGATACTAACTTCAAAGATGTCATCAAGTTAAAGATCTTGAGATGAAGAGATTATCCTGGGTGGACCCTAAATGCAATCACAAGTGTCCTTAGAAGAGATAGGCAGAGGAAGATAGTAGACAAAGGGATGTGACCACAGAAACTGAGACTGCAGTGATGAAGCCAGGAGCCAGGAGCTGGGAGCCAGAAATGTCAGCAGCCTCTAAAAGTGGAAGAAGTTAGAATGAGATTCTTCCCTGGAGCCTTGGAAAGGAACAAGCCCTATACACACCCTTTGATTTTAATAGCTTTTGACTCATTTTGGATTTCTGATCTCTAGGATAAATTTGTGTAGTTTCAAACCATTAACTTTGCTATAGTAGCTATAAGAAATTAAAACAATCTGTAAAAAAGAGGTTCAAATAAATGACCTCCAAAATCCTTCAAGGATTTGAGAGAACTGCTCTGCACTGTTAGCTTTGTGAATTTTTATTTTTCAGCATAACTTAAGAAAAATCATTTTTCATTAGTTATTTAGGATATAACATTCTTTGTTGTAATTAGTCTGTTGGGTAATAGGCAGCAAACTCTAGGGGGATATTTCTTTTAGTTTATTTTACCAAGTTGAAGAAAAAAATATTTTTAATTAATTTTCTATGAGTAGCCAATTAAATTAGAAATTCAAAACACAAGAATCTTGCAGAAATCAGCTGCCAGATTTATTAATCTATCTGAAAATAAAAACACAAGCAAACAAAAAGTAGGATAAAAACAGAACTTAAAAAAAAAAAAGAAAACTTTAGATACATTTCCCAAAAGAGTTTATAATGCAATGTTTTGAACCCTTCCGTATTGGAAATATCCTTAATGTTGGCCAATTAACTTATTTTGTGATTCACTACCTTAAGCAGAAAAATAATTTGTCCTTACATATTATATAATTAATACCAGTTCTTCCTTTGATCCCTTAAGATAACTCATAGTCCAATTCCTCCCCAATGGGAAATTAGAACTTGAAATTTGAAAAGTAAAAGAAAAAAAAAGAAAAAGAGGAAAATAAAAAAAAGGAATCCTCAATACAATTTCATTTAGATATTTTAAAGACCCACTTTTCATTTCTCCTTTAATTTCTCCAAATATGTTCTCTTTCCAATAAATCTTCAGCTGAATATGTTAAAATTTGTTTTTATTCTAAGTGCTGTAAATGGCCATATGAGCATAGAGAGGGGAAAAAGTTCTCATTTTTAAGGCATTATTAGCCCAAATGGGCCAAATGATATATAATGTATATGCAGAACAATCATTGAAATCACAGGTTACATATATATGTTGAAATTAAAATAGTTTTTTTTTTTTGTAGGATTAAATGTGAGTAGTATTGATTATGGTATGTAAATTTCCCAATACCTGTTCAATTTAGATACAGAAGCTGTGACCTGTGCCATGTTGGAAAATCAGTTGCCAGGCAATCATCTTTCATCAGTCTTTCCTGTGCTTGTTAAGAAATGCTCTTATAAGTTCATTTTGGCTTTGTGTTTAAGATATTTTTCTTAATATTTCATTATAGACTCTTAAAAAATGTTGTTCCTCTGGGATATTGATGGATTGAACAAAACTCATGCTTCTTGTTTGAACGGTTTTAGCAAGCTATTCAAAGATATTATAACACCACTTACTTTTTTTTTTCCAAGGTGAATGAAACAACATATCCTGCTTTCAATATTTTCTCCAAATGCCAAACAAAAACAAAACAAAACCCTTTGAAACTTTAAATCTTTAAATCTTCTTTCAAACAATCCAATCACATTTACACAAGAGTCCCAAACAAGATGAGTATCTGTGCCAGCACTATGTCATACAACAACTTCCTCAGATTCTTCGACAGTTTGTAAATAATTTTCTATTTCACCAAAAGTTACAAAAGTTTCCACAGTTTCCCTTAGCAAGCTGAAGCTTACTCTTCATTTGTCAATGTGCATAAAAGCTGCTTATAGCATAGCATGGCATAAGCTATTTTTTAAGCAATAAATGGTTTGAGTCATCTATTTTGTCCTGAAATGCTATCTGTAGTTAACTGCATTGCTTATAAATGGTCATAGTAAATTCAGCATGAAAGAGAATATTACAGAAAAGACAGCAGCAGAAGCATTAGCATTATCTAATATTTATATATGTTATCAACATAACACAGCAGTAAAAGGTTTAAATGCATATCAACGGGTACCATGTCTAAAAATTACTATAGTACCTATTTAGTGTATTGGATATTTTCCTTAAGGAGTGCTTGCTGTATCTAGAACAGCATAATACGTGATTTAGTACAGTTAATTCTTATCGATTAAATAATGTTTCTTTATGTACTGAAGGAAGTGAGATAGATATTTTTTGCTTCATTGTGATCCCAGATTTAACATTTAAATGAAGATCTCAAAGGACCATGACATATCATTATTTAACTGAAACGGGCTTCAAAATATTTAAACAAGAGTATGATGTGTGTCTAGACAGCAAGGTGGCACCAGGTACATGGGATGCTACTGGCCTGTGACTCGATTTGGAGCCAGAGTCCAAAACTGTGCCCCTCATTTACAGTCATGGTGATCATCACTCAACTTCAGAGAGAATGACCCATTTTATGGTTATCCTCTGTGAGTCATACAGAAAGCAAAACAAAACAAATAACAGCAAATGCGATCTCTAAATACCTTTTTACAACAGGTGCAAAACCAGTCATTTCTAACAATTAAACTGCCATTTACAGTAGGTTTTTTTTGTTGTTGTTTTTTTGTTTGTTTTTTGTTTTTTGTGGATTTTTTTTGTACACCTTGCAGAGACTCAGAAATGACAGGGGAAAATGCCCAAGGCAAATAGTCTCCAAGTGGATATTTACACAATGTGAATTAACTGTACCATAGATACCCAGAGAAAATGAACATTTTCTTATGTTGTTATGAAATCAAATAAACATGATATAGCTTCATCATACTTAAAACCTGTAGGACCCCATCCCAAGCCTAAGTAAAAAGTAATCCCCATATCCCCCCACCCATTCACCCATTATTTTCCTGTTACACAGAATAAATGTTTAGATTACTCCCACCCACCCTCAAATAAAGTGCGCAGTCCATGGCAGACCATAGAATAATGCAACAGGAAAGCCCCTTTTTGTGTATTATTATTTAAAAATAAAATACAAACAACGAAAATCAAACAAAGATTGAAGAGAACTCAGAGATTCTCTGCATCCTGCAAAAAGAGGAGAAGCGCGAGGAGGCCCTGCGTGACTGTCACTTGGGTTAATATACATAGCCTTCATTGTAGGGGTGGGGGTTGCAGCAGCCCCCTTCAGGCATGTAGGCCATGCTCTCGTCAAAGTGAGACAGAGGCACTGTGTCCTCTTCATTGATGTGACGTTCCATGTCTGTCTTCAGCAGTGGGCGCTGATTATCTGGAAAGGCCATGGAGAACAGGGCTTCCGGATCACACACAAATTTGTAGACATATCTCTCTCCGGCCACCTGATGAAAACACAGAAGAGAAAAATCGATCCTTATGTATGGTGTGGGATGTTAACGAACTAGCTTCCTGGGGTGATTATGTCATGATATCTGCAAAGAGTGAATCCCTATGCTGTACGCCTGAAACTGACATAAAGCTATCTGTCAACTAGCCTCAGGTGAGCCACAATCTTGACCATCCCCAAATGGTAAAGAGCAGAGAAAGAAAAGAACAAAAACATGGTTATACACCAGAAAGGATGCATAACAAAAGGAAAGTAACCAAGTGTTAGCAGGTATCCCTAAGAGAAAAAAAAAAATCTTACTTTGTGGAATACACTTCAGTCCAATAGAGGGAAATGAGACCTTGAGCAATGATTGACCTTGAGCAATAATTACATTCATTCCAGGCACAGCTAGAAAGCTTAGCAGTTTGTTCGTTTTAACATAAAGGTAAACTTACATTGTTATTTGGGGGGGAAAAAAATCAATGATTTCATCCAAGCATCTCACAGTGAAATTTTTTTCCTTTGCTTTAGATAGTAGTATCTTTATAAAATAACTGGACCTTTACAATGTAGTGTTTCCCTCTAAATATTAGATTTCTGAAATTCCTTAAAAGAAAAATGTGCTGTGTTCCTAATAAGACTAGACTAGTGACTCACTGATTCAAAAAAAGAACTGGTTCTTTTTTCTTTTATTTTATTTGGGGGTGGGGGGAATGACTGCATATTTCCATCTAAAAAAAAAAAAAAAAGAAGAAACGAAAACCATAAGATGCATAGCCTTATTTAAATGAAAGATGGATCAAGAGGACAGCATGATCCTGGGTACATCACTTTTAAAAATGAAGGCAAGATGCATTAGACAGAAGTTAAGGATGTGTGTAAAGTGTCAAATTGAAGTAAGAGGTGTAAAAAAGTGAAAGGAATTTAAAATATACAATGATAGGGAGGAAATGAGAAACAGAAATGTGACAGCTGCCTGAAATAAAGGAGAAGTAGCATAATTTGTAGGGAATGACACGTCCCAAACTTAAATTTTGAAGAATAATGTTTCTCTAGGAAATTATAAACAATTGAATGGAACAAATATGCACCCTCCTTCCCCATTAATAGACAAAACAGAGCTTCTCAAAAAACTGGGGCAGGTTGGAGATGGAGGGTGGGAGTAGGTGTGTGTATGAATACAATTCTTCGTAATGACATTGAGGTAACTCTTCATGTAGATGCAGAGATTAATAATTTTAGAAAGGTGAAAATTATTCAGTGCCTCTGGGTTCCTAATGTATCAAAAAAAGGAAGGCACTGCTAGCTGCTTCGTGATGTAGGAGAATGCTAAGTTCATGGTTCACAAACTATCTGTATATGTTTGGAAAATAAAAATCAACTACCAAAGACTGCTACTGTTCTGGGACTTAAGATTTGTAACATTTTTTTGTCCTGGATTTTTTACCTCGGAACAGGAACCAATTTAGAGGATCCAAGTAATCTGAATAGTCTTAGGTTTGAAAACAGTGAGCATTTAGTTTTTATGAATTTGGATGTGTTTTTAACCCGGCCTCAGTTCCTCCTTTTTTGTGAAATAGAGGTGGGAACGGCTCCCTTTGGAAAGCCTTTTGTAAAACTGAGATGGACAGCTCTCCGGTACATCGCATGACAAACAGAAGAGTTGGCATAAATTTACTTACTTCAGCCCCTTATAAAAAGGAAATTAAGTTCATAAAGGTGAAATTGCCGTAAAAATAAAAATTGGCAATATCAGAAACAAACCCAAGATATGAAATCCTAGTTTTCCATTTTTTCTTTATTCAAACCAATTTGAGAAAAAAAATAAATGGCCTGCATATCTTAGAACATTTAATAACCTGCTTTGTTTTGTTTGGAGCTGCAAAGAGGTATTTGCTTTACGCTACTAGTAGCTTTTTTATCCAACCTGTTGCTATTGGTTATAATTAGAACTGATTTGAAAAATCACTATGGGGAATTAAATGTACAACATGCAATCAAGATTATAAAATCTCTTAAGGAGTCTGCCTTGACTCATTGCTTCCTACTATTTTTCTTATGAAAAAACATTTTTAGAACTACTACTATGTTAAATGTCAGAGTTTAGAACAAGGGCTGATAATTACCATGGGAAATAATGTCTTTCATTATTAGCAATACTATTACAATCTAGAAAATGCTGCACATTAAATATACCCAAAGTGCAATGCTGAGATAGATAAAACACGAATTTTATAGGGGAGATGAATCAGAAATTAACAAGGAAGTATCTTTTGAACTGTGCTTTGAAAGACTAGATATTCGAATTAGGTGTTAACTTTTTAAATATCAGAAGTAACAGAAAAACTGGAGGAAAATTAAAAATTACAGATCAAGCCAAAAGAAAATAATGATCTATCCTTATATTATCCAGAAATAACTACTGTTAAAATATTTGCATAGATTTTCCTGGGAATTCCTAGGTTTTGAAATAGAAGTGTACACATATAGTCTAAAAGCCATATTTCCAGGCACCTAGGTGGCTCAGTGGATAAGCGTCTGCCTTTGGCTCTCAGGTCATGGTCCCGGGGTCCTGGAATTGAGTTCCATGGAGCCTGCTTCTCCCTTTGCTTATGTCTCTGCCTCTCTCTCTGTGTCTCTCATAAATAAATAAATAAATAAAATCTTCAAAAAAATAAAAAGATAAAAAATAAATAAAAGCCATACTCCATCATTTTTTATCTCTTTCAGAGCTACTGAAATAATCAGGGCTTTTTAACATGTTTAGATTCATTTGATTATTTTTATTTCAATGTCTCATCTTTCCATTTAATTTTCCTTAACATACACCACATACATACATAATGTTAAGTTTATAAACAAGTGTGGTCATATAAACATTTTCCCCTACACACTGAAATATAAAATTCTACATCATAGATATTTTTTTAAGGATAGCATAATTTTCCTCTGAATGGCTCTGTTAGAATTTATTTAACCATAAGATTGGTACAGATGTTAGGTAAAAATCAGAAGGTAAGATGCTATAGAGAATCATAGAATCATAGCAGTGAAGCAATGAGGGAGTCACAAGCGTGTCACACAGTAGCAAGTAGAATGGCTCAACAAGTGAAGAAGAGTAAACATACTGTAAAAACTGTAAAAAGCCTTCACTTTTGTGCTAGTTACAAGTAGACTTCAATTTTATATGTTTCATCATCAAACAACCTATGCTTTCTTATATTATGTAGCAATACCCCAAAAGGTCTGTCACATACAGACACTTTGCTATTCTATATTAGCTGATAAATAAATAGTTGCAAATAGTTTCTTTTACCTTATTTCATTTAATAATGACAACAACTTCATGAAGTAAGAACACCACTAGTTAGCAGGAGAGGAATCTGTTCAAAAAGTTGATTCCTTGAGAAGGCAGCATGTAAACTTAAATCATGACTGTGTTTTCTGTGACAGCACCTCAACACTGCCCAGGGAAACTGGTTAGTACCTACAGTGACAGCCCACCTGACGGCCAGAAGCATCTAGATGGTGAGGGAAATGGAAGGAATGGAATGCATCTGGAATGGTGCACTGAAGGGGTTTGGCTGCAGATGGGAAAGGTGAATGAGAGGAAGGGAGGAATTAAAAACGACCCCAGTGTTGAGGTGGAGAAGACAGGGGAGCAAGTAAGAAACGGTTACACATCTTGAAGGTGAGATTCAGGGAAATAGAAAGGGAGAGACTAATTGAGCCTTATCTTTCAAAAATTTTGGGCATTCTGACTTGTGAGCCAGCAAACTCCAGAGCACTGATTTCCTTTGGTCTAAAAACTCAATGATGCTGTTCCCTCTGGTCTAGTATGTTTCGTGTAGCAACTGGTCTAGTTTTTCTTGGCATAACTATAGTGGTATAAAAATATGCCACAATCTGCAATATATAACTATGTTTGTGTCTCCCAACTGAACAAAGGATGCACAATAAAAGAGTAATGTTCACAATGGATAGATCATAAACTTAGTTCACAATCTAGAAATTGGAATGAATACATATGCAAGGCTAAAACATGTAATAATAACAAATATCCAATGTTTGATCTTTATTCATGTATTCATGACCTTGTTCAAAATTTTATTTTGTTCTACGTGTACTTCATTTGTTTTATCTTATTCTTTTTAAAGCCACCTTCAAATATTAAAAGAAGCTCATCTGAAATAAAATAAAATCCATTTAACTCAACTTCATTCACCAATGAAATAATATCAAATATCAATTTTGAATAAATGGTTTAGGTTTCTGAGCTGTCAAGCAGCAAAACTGGGCAAGATTTCAAACAAGAAAAGATTTTTCAGGAGAACAAGAAATATTCTGAATGTTTTAAGCATCAAAACACGGAGGGAAAAGTAAGAATTCAGTTAGTACCAGAATCTATAAACAAAGGCATTTCAAAATTATGTCATTGGGGAGAATACAGCAGACTACCAAAAACTTCTGGGAATATTAGTACTGAAACAACATTTTTTTACCAAATACGGTAGAGTTGGGACCTCCAGAAAGTCCACTAGTTTCTATATGACATTATTACATAGGACTATAATGCTCATGAATCTATAAATAGAAAGGCTTGTCATACCAAAACCAAGAGCTAAGCATACGTTAAAATGAGTGAAAACCTTGCTTCAGCAATGCGATATGTGGCTTTTAAAGTATGACATGCAGATTAATGTGCAACATTTCAATGAATTTTAATGCTGTTGTAGCTGCTCACCTTTTGCATGATTCCTTTCTCATAATAATAGCGAAGCGAACGGCTAAGTTTATCATAGTTCATAGCTGGCCTGTTTTTCTGAATGCCCCAACGCCGGGCCACCTGTCACCAAAACAGAATTACATTGTAGTGTTAAGCATTACCTTATCGAGATATTTCCTAAAACATTAGTAAATTAATCAAGGACTTCCAAATCTTCCAAAAACACATCCAAATTAAAGACATAAGTAAAGAGGCAAAAGCTCTCATGATCTGAATTTTCCTGTGTCCTGGTTTGCTTTTAAACCAGGCGTGCAATGATCATTCTGAAACTCCACAATAGAATTCTTTGTCACTATTGTTTTGGATACAAAATTAAATGGAAATAAGGGGATGTGTTTACAATGGGAATGAACAGGCTGCAATTCACTAAAACGAGGCAAGTTTCCCATTGTGAGATCTACTGCCTGTTGTTTCCTTCTTAGTTTTTCAGATAAAACCTATAGATCAAGCACAGCTTAGTGATTTGTGAAGGTGTTTTCTGAGGTTATGATAAACTAAAGAAAAAATACCCTGTTAGATACTCCATGAAAGAGTAAACAAGTGGCACTGTGTGTGTAGCAAAGGAAACAGTATACAAATTCATAATCTGAACTGCAAATAATTTTTATTGCCTGAAGCAGCACCAGAATAAAACTGTAACCAATACTGAACTGAGGAATTAAGCATTCATTTAGAGAACAGTAATTGGACACTAAAAATAAAAAGGAAGTGGAAAAGGTCACCCTGTACATGAGTCCACAAACAAAAACTTCTAAAGCAGAATGTCCACTTTGTTGTTTAGTGAAAAATCTCAGAGTTTTTGAGAATGTGGCTTTGGAGGAGCAACCTCTCTGGCAAAGCAGAGCTCTTCAAGGAAACCTCCTTCTGCAATGTGTCTCTATCCCCGACCTCACCACCATCCTAGGCTGCCTGAAACGCTACATCCAACAGTGTAGCTTTGACTTTGCCTCTGCTACCCCAGTTAGAGACGTGTCCTCACGGATTTCCATATTTTATTACTCTGAGCAGAAACTGCAGCTGTCATGCATACCTAGGTGACCCCAAGAGGACGTTATCTTATAGGGTTAGGGTTTTCCTTCATTTCTATGAAATTCCAAGTTGCTGCTATGTCACATCCTATACTAAAAATAAAATGCTTTTCAGAGAGATCATTTCTGTCTCCTCTCCTCTTTATTAGCAATAACCTTTCCCCAGGGTTTGTTTTTTTCTTTCAAAAATACTGATCCTTGCTATTTTCTCCCTCTGCTAATTTGTATCTCCTAAATGAAGATACAATGTAATTTAGCCACTTGCATCAGTAGACTTTTTTAAGAGCAGAGAGATGTGATGTAACAGGAACATGATTACATATCCAAGCAGTCAGCATGGCAGGTACATCTGAATTTTCCAAAGATAAACTTCATTTTAATGTAAGTGTTCTTAGCAATAGTGAAATAGGAGGGTGGCAATAAGAAATGAAAGCAATACTTTCTAAATAAAATGTCTTTTAAAAACCTAACAATGGGGGGGGGGCACCTGGGTGGCTCAGTGGTTGAGCATCTATCTGCCTTTGGCTCAGGTCATGATCCCAGGGTCCTCAGATCCCACATTAGGTTCCCCACAGGGAGCCTGCTTCTCCTTCTGCCTATGTCTCTGCCTCTCTGTCTCTCATGAATAAAAAAATAAAAAAAAAAAAACATAAAACCTAACAATGGGCATCAGCAAATCTTTAATAGACTTGGCAACTGAACAGCATGCAAACATGGAAGGGACATAAAAATAAACTACTAATATTTCCTTAAATTAAACACAAGTTTCTGACTACCTTTTCATTTATAAATGATTCTCCTCTAGAGATTCACCAGGATGCACATAGGAAGGAAAATACTTGCAACCAACTTTGAGACAACCCAGTGGAAGTCTCTAGGGAGAGAAAGATAATTTTTTGATACCATCAGCAGAGTCTGATTTTTAGGATGCCAGTTAATTCTTTTTTTTTTTTTTTTGGATGCCAGTTAATTCTCAGCACAAGTGGGTATTAGTAGATATTTTTAAACAAAAAATATATTCTTCGAGCTGTTTTTATTTGTTCAATGTCACTTTTATCATAAAGGGAAGTGGGATACACCACTATGCCTATGGGATGGTCATGCAAGGTAAGTTCTAGAGATTTGCTCTACCACAGCATGCCCACAGTTAACAACACTATATGATACATTTAAAAATTTGATAAGAGGGCAAATCCCAGGTTAAATGTTATTACCACCATAAAAAAAATAAAAAAAGATTGAAACTTAAAATCAATAGGTAATACAGATAATTTCCTAGATAGCTTAGACCATGTACCAACACAGAAACCCCAGTCGGCCCTCATGTATGAACCACCAATCACCGCTACCTCCAGCACCACTAAAAGCCAAGGCAGCATTCTCAACATGGAATGGGTGCAGTGATGGCAACGCTTTCAGTAACTTCCTTATGATACTCCTTCAACTCCGACTATTAATAAGGAAACTGAAAAGGCAACTGAACTACAAAAATCACTCTAGGGATGCTGGAGTGGCACAGTCAACAGGGTCAGACTCTTGATTTCAGCTGAGGTCATGATCTCAGGATCTCGGGATCAAGCCCCACATTAGGCTCTGTGCTTAGCAAAAGTCTGTTTGTCCTCTTCCTCTGCTCCTACCGTCATTCATGCTCTCTCTCAAATAAATGAAGAAAGTCTTTGAAAAAAAATCACTCATATTGTCAAATGAATTAGAAGGAAAACATAATAGCTCAAATATTAATTTACTTTTAAAAATCATGTTTGAATACCCAACAGTAAACCTGGAAACCATAACTAGGTCCTGGTTATCAGACTTCCTAGTAACTCATGTAGCTCAACAACTTTGAATATCTTTGAAAGACTTCTTCACTGAGTCCTAGAGATGTTGTACTACGTGAACAACTGTTCCCTGAGACAATTCCCTCGGATCCATGATTAATTTGAAAATAACATCTCATTATCTCAAATATCTCAAAAAGAGAGCTGTTAAATAACATGTGCTTGCTTGAGTTACTCAAGCACACTGAGCAGATCGTCAGCACAAGACAACAGGCTTCCTCAATATCATTTTAAAATGCAAAATGAACTAGAAAGAAATGAACCAATGAGTATTTCCTAAAAGGATGGCTTCAGAGGCACCTTTCAGGAGCTGTATTGACACAGACACTCAAGGAGCTACTGTGTGGTTCAAGAAGGAGGGTGACCATGGGCCACAGAGGCTAAAGGAATTTCACAAATGCTTTCCAAAAAATAAATGTAAATGGTACAGCCATTGTCTAATGGAAGCAACTACAACAGTGAGCAATGCGGCATTAGAAACATATTTTATTTTGAACAAAAGCCATAGGAGACTTAGTACTTACTGAACAATTATCATTGAGTCAGTTACTGCTTGGAAATGGTCTACTGACTCTGAAATTACTTGGCCTTTTTATAAGTCATGAGTCTACTGCAGAAAAGGTATCTAAATGTCCGTTTATTGTATTGAACAGATGTAACTGTGTCTTTCTTGCAATAAAAAAATCACTGAAATTTAGAATCTGATACAAGTTAATGGTCATCTGTTCAAGTCTTCTTATTCATGATTAAAATGAAAGTCAACAATTGCTAAATAAAAACCTTAATGATGTTCGTAAGAACTTTATTCTTCAGAGATCAGTAATTACCAACATAATTCAGAAATTTTTCCACCTTGACAAATATATGGCAGGAAAAAAAGTTCTGTGTCTGCTCACTTTACTTTAGTCATAGGTAGAGGAAAGAACTGATAGAAATTGCTGTTGGATATACTCAGGTCTAGGATGAACCACCTCTTGCAGCGATTATTAACATGTTTGATGAGGTGAAGAACACACACTCCCATCATGTTAAAGGGCTTTCAAGTTACTTTACATTAAGTGTTTCTAGACTCCATTTGTTAGTGCTTCACATTTTTATGGGTCTTTCACTTACATCATTTAAGTACATCTACATAAAAATGAATTTCCTTTGAGAGCCAAATTAAGCCTTAGATACACTATGAAATTCAAACACCCAAACACTTAGCTCATACTAGATAATGGATATTTTCAAAGTCTGATACTGAGCTCTCTGTGTGTTTGGTGGAGGGCAATGGAGATACAAAGCTAATCCCTCTAGACTACTAGTGTATTCATGTCATCTGAAGTAGACATAATTATGCTAACCAGCTCCTCTTATTTCAAATTTCTTTTAATACAAATTTGAATCAGAGAATCTCTTAAATAAGGAAAGTAACTTATTTTCTGGATATCAAATGAGGACATGTCATCTGGTTATGCATGAATACACGGTTTCAGAGGGCAGAAAATTGAAGATGTAAAGTCCTATTAGCCTAGATTGTAGATGTCCAGTCTATACTAATCGAAACTAATCACTTTGGGTTCAAAATTAGCTGGATATCTTACTAAGTTTTACATGTTTCTGAGGCATTTAGACCCTACAGCCAATATGAGCCATCATAGGCACGCTAATTGAAAGTCGTCCATTGCTTTCTTGGCTAATGTAAACTAAAGTCAATTTTAACAGTAACTGAGAAAGCACCTTTAGTAAGATACAAACATTTTACGTAAAAGTCACCTTTCTATAGAGGTCCAAAATGATATTAGTGGGTTATGCTGTAATAATGGTAGTATTTTTAAGCCTCAAGCTAGACCTGGGGAGAATAAAAATTGAACTGAGAAGATCTTCAGGAAAACTCCATTTGTACATGCATAGGGGTTGGGAGAAGGCAGCAGTAAGCCAGGTGAATAGTTAGTTGAAAGTGTGTTCCATTTATCCATATTCTCTCTCTCTCTAGAATTATCTCATTCTGGTAATTTCTTAGTTAATATGGTGATACTCTCTCCTTACCCTGCAATGGAGTGTACACAGCCCAGCTGACTTGAAAAGATGTTACCAAAAATCAAAGAGAAACAGTGTTATTATTAGGTTGGCATTTCCTAAGAAACACTTCCTGACTAAGAATTGTCTACTGTGGCCTTTGTGTGCCTTTATCCCACAGCAATTTCTCCCCCACCTCCTCTTGTGCATGACTTTGGTCTCTAAATGTTCCTCTCTAATCCCTTGACAAAATCAAGATTATCCAAATAATAACTTTCTCAAGAACAATTCCTTCATGTGCAAAACTAGCTGAATGTCAACAGACAAACCCTCTCTTCTTCCAAGAATATCAAACATCCACAATTTAGATATTCTTTTAGAGACTTCCCAAGAATCATATTCTTGAATCAAGTCTAAAACCAAGTCTAGCTGGTTTTCTACAACATCAATCCTGTAGGATGTCATTCAACTGGAAAAATCGTGCAACATATTTATTGCTTATTTTAAATGTAGACATACTTTTTCCTTTGCCCAACTTCTAATTCAGAAGCTTTCCCTAAAGTTTTAAAATTAAAAAAAAATAGGGGATCCCTGGGTGGTTCAGCTGTTTAGTGCCTGCCTTCCACTCTAGGCATGATCCTGGAGTCCCAGGATTGAGTCCCACGTCGGGCTCCTTGCATGGGGCCTGCTTCTCCCTCTGCCTGTGTTTCTGCCTCTCCCTCTTTGTCTCTCATGAATACATAAATAAAATCTTTAAAAAAAATAAATAAATAAAATAAAATAAAATTTAAAAAATATATTTTGGCACATTAATCAATATGTTTCTTTATATTATATCTGATTTTCCTAATGAAAATCTATTAGACCCACCTCTTCAGGCTCAATCAGTTTAAATTCCATGCCTCGCCCAGTCCACGCAATGAAATGAGAATTTGAAGGGTCATCCAGAAGAGCTACCAAAAACTGCCAGAGTTGAAGTGATCCCCGCCGCTGGTATGTGGGTCCTTCCCGATACATTCCTGGCTCCTGTTTGATGTCTCCTAAATTAAAAAATATAAAAATTTCTATTACTAGCACTATTATGACATTTACGTAAAATTTTCATTAGACCAATCATTAAAATGGTTAAATCACAACTACTTTATGGGTTTCTATGAAATAAAATGTTACCACTAAATAGGGTTTTAAAATCGTTAAAGGATTTCATGTAAACCAAGAATCTGTACAAACTTACAAACAACTATATATAACATATAAGGGTCAGAATAAATGCACACAGATGCAGAATAAATTCACATGTATAATTTACTCATTAAAATTTTGTGTAACTATCTGTTTGTTTTCACTTATTTATTTAAAAACCATACCATCTAATCACACTTCTTTTTGTTTTATTGTTAATGACATTATTCACTGCTCTAAGCAACACTGAAGAAAAAGTATTCAATTTTAAGCTCTGGGCACTTTATTCATACAAATTCTGCAAACTATAATTTGTAATATTTCACTGGCATGCACACGAAAAATGCAAATTTTAATGCAAATATTTCAAAGCAAATTTGTTTATTCATCCATTCATTCATTCTAAAAGATTTATTTATTTGTGAGAGAGAGAAAGAGAGCAAGCAGGGGTAGGGGCAGAGGGAGAGAGAGAGAGAACCTCAAAAAGACTCCAGGCTGAGCACAGAGCCCGATGTGGAACTCGATCACATGACCCTGAGATCACGACATAAGCCAAAATCAAGAGTTGGATGCTCAACCAACTGAGCCACCCAGGTGTTCCATCTCAAAGGAATTTTAATAGCATCTTAAACTCTGAGTTAAGTAATCTGTACTTTATATAAATTAGGAAAATCTCATAAGTAAATCAGGGCATATTGGATTATCATCACACCATCTTTTTCTCACACCTTCATACTGGTACTACTACTTTCTTAACTGGGAGCAAATAAAAATTCCTTCGTTTTTCTTTGTCTTCTTTGCACTTCAATCACATGAATTTAATTTGCTAATCTCTTTCTAAAAGTGCAATCTAAAAACACATATACAAGAGCTTTCTGTCAATCTATATTTTTAATCAAGAAATGTTGCTTTGTGTTACATTTATTTGTTATTTTTATAGAGTATAAAAAAACCTATTAAGTAGATTACAATAAGGGTGTTACTGTTCTAATTCTTCTGGTATAAATCTGGCCAGTTATCTTCCTCATACCAAACAAACAAAAATTCAGTCATAACTCCTGATTATTTACATCTGCCTCCAGCCAACCATCCCCAAAGTATGTGGAATCTGTCACACTGGGGACTGAATGTCTAGGGCCCTACAAACATATCATTATTAATGCGCGAACTTCTCTATGCCATGATAGAAACAATTCAGAAAATATATTCACAGTGTACGTGTGAATTATAAAACGGACCAGATCAGAAGCTTCTTAAAACTTTCCTTTGGTTGGGGCAGCCCCGGGGTCTCAGAGGTTTAGCGCCACCTGCAGCCCGGGGTGTGATCCTCGAGACCCGGGATCGAGTCCCACGTTAGGCTTCCTCCATGGAGCCTGCTTCTCCCTCTGCCTGTGTCTCTGCCTCTCTCTCTCTCTGAATAAATACATTTTAAAAGTCTTAAAAAAAAATATATATATATATATATATATATATATATATATATATATATATATATAAAAACCTTTCCTTTGGTTAACAGACAGAAATGTGCCTCTTAAAATAATTAGAAAAAGAAAACACAACACTTTAAAAACTAAAAACCACAACCAAAATAAAATTATTCGGCCGATCGCTGCTAGAAATCATTATGTCATTTTGGTCTAAGCCAAATAATACAGAAGTGTCTCTTCATATTGATTTCAATGACAGTTTTATTTATCTCAGTTTTTCCTTCTGAGACTTACAAATTTTTTCATGGGGGTAACTGAGCAATTATGCAGAGAGTGAAGCACTATCAAATCTTTTAATCTCTAGATTGCTTCTGCCTATAAATGTGACAGGCTATCCTAGCCTTTTCAATGAAAAAATAACCCTGTGCTTTTCTAATGTCTTGCTCTCTATTCCTTATAAAATTTAAGACTATCTTCTAAAAAAACATTTTCTTAGTACAAAATTGAAGAATATTTAGTAGTCAAAGGGAATAAATAATCAAGAGAGACAGCTCCCCTAAATATTAGTGTGACTTAGGCTTGTTAGATTATATCATAATCCAATTGGTAGTTTTGAGCTATTTTTTCTTCCTTAGATGCCCATTCTGGTCATCAAGAGTTTTTTAAATGTTAAGCTAAGAATGAAAAACAAAACAAAACAAAACAAAAAACTGATAAAGGTCATTCTAAAAAGTAAAGGCTTTATGCTTTGTCTTAAGAGAAAAGGCTGTATTTTAAGAATTGTGATGCTCTGCTAATGATGCTAAATAGCACATATCAAACTGAAGCTCGAAGCTTAAAAAACTAACATCTATTTAGAATAAGGCCAAAAAAGTGACTCCTAATGGAGCTTAACCCTGTGACCTTGAATGAATTTAGCCATTTAAAGGAAGACTAAGGAAACAGATCTTTCCCAAATTATCATTCTTTCTGAGAAGGACCAGAGTAGCAAAAGCCTTAGGAACAGAGTAGTCTTCAAGAAACTAATTAGAGATGGAGAAGCAATCTGAGCATGCACTTTGCTGTTCAAATAATGACAATTAAAAACTTCTGAGAGCTACCAAGTCATTACAGCCATGATCCCCAAAGTTTGTGCAATCAGCTAATCAGAGGGTCCCTGCTCATTTCCTGTTAAACAATCAAAGCAGGAAATATGGAGACCACTCTGAAGAACCACTAAATCAATTAACTGTTCACTTTTTACCCAAGCTTCCTCGTAGATGCTGACTTCTGCCACCTTTGTCAAGGAAAAAAATATTTTTTCCTAACTTGACACTCATTTCTAAAATCTGGGGCTGTTTCACTGCAAGAGACAGTGATAAAAAAAAGTAATGCTTTCCTAACTCCATTTTAAGCAATTACAAAGTAATTGCACATTAGTAATGAACATCTTCCCAGGGAAAGAAAAGGAAAAACAAAAAAGAAGGACTAACAATCACTAACTAAATGGGCAGCTATGTTGTTCCTGTGTTCCATAATGCATCTTTTCATGAACAATAAAAGGAAAGAAGCTGCATTAGTCATCTGTGCATCCACAGTAGCATGCTTTCTGTTCTGCTTTGTTAATTATGGGATCAGCTTTCAATAAATCTCAAGCAACAAGCTGCATGTGCTCTGCAGGGCAAAGGAAAGACCCCTCTTACTCTACACAAAGCTCAGCAAGAATGATACTCTCTGGTTGGATCTTTAAAAATGAGACCTCTCATGGGACAAAAGAAAAAGCTTCTGAATAGGGGAAGGAAGAGAGAATTTATAAAAGGCGAAGTTTAGCAAGAGTTAAATGCATCGTAATGATGTGCATAAAAATCGTCAGGGCGCGATGGCAACTGTTTTCAGGGGAGTCGAGGGTGATCTTTCCACTCCTTCTTAGAAAAATTCAAACTTGAAGCACAGTGAGAAACCTACCATCAAATTTCTCTGGGACAACACAGGTGTCATCATAAAACTGCCTGGGGCCCTTCTCAAACATACAGCCTGTGGGAGGAAAAGAGTATACATTTATTCATGATAGAAATGAAGCTCACAAGCAATTTAAAATATAGCCATTAGCACAAAACTTGGGGTAGAAAAGGACTCTGCCAGTTTTCAGCTCTGTGACCTTAGACACACTGTTTAGCCTCACTGTCTCTGTTCCCTCACCTATAGAATGGGAATAATGATAAATCACCTATCTCAAAGGGTTGTTGTGAGGAATAACTGGTTTAATATATGCAAGTTTAGAATAGTACCCAGCACACAGTGATACACGACAGATATTTATATTATTACCAACCCAAGCACAGAGCGGTTAACACTGGCAAACCTAGAAATTATAAAGTATCATCTCCTTTTTCATTTTCTTCCAAGTTTTGTTATTTATGAGATAGTAGGAAAATGAAGATGAGTTACTCATATTTACCTTGCACAATTACTTCCTGATAAACTGAAACACATTCTGTTTACCCCTTACTTCCCTGGAAAAATTTTTAGCCAGGTTAACCTCCTCATGTTTTCATCTTCAACAGACAAGTTAGTTTTAATTTTCTTTTTTTAGCTCTTTTTTCCTGTAATAAAACTAAGTCCATGGGAAAAAAAATGCAAAATAAATCAACAGCTTTTAGCAATCATTTTCTCCCCCATGTATTCATGACTGTGACCCTCACTGAATCATTGTCGTCCTTAATCACCAGTAAGAAATTTCATATACTTTAGCCACAGTTTTCTTTCTCAGATGTACTGGTCTCTACAGTGAGTGCATAATATTAACAACAGTAGTGACAATAATCGCACTGCATTTTTGCTAAATTTCTGATCCCAAATATTTTGGACTTACCAGCTTATTATATACTCTTCTTTAAAGACAAGCATTTACTTCTATCGATACCACTTATACAAAATAACCAGTATTAGACCTAACCTAAAAAGATGCATCTATGTCATCTTCCTGAGGACACAGACGTTTATGTCATGAACTATGCACGCATTTCCAGAAACTCCTTAATAGGGAATGTATCTAAAGAAGATTATTCATTACTTTGTAGGCTATCAAAGTCCGTTAGATCAAAGCTTTCCCACGTGATTACCATGAACACATCCACAACAAAAACTCCTTCTGTAGGTCTCTGATGTGAAATTCCATTCTAGCAATTACTTATATAAAAATGAAAAATCCAGGATATTTAAAAGCAAATATATTTAAAACTACTCTCTTATTTCAAAACACAGACTTGGGTCTGTAAAGCAAAACTGAAATTCCTCGAAGATACATTTCAGTAGAGAGTAGGAAGGTAGGCTAATCTATAAAGCACATGTTCTATTTTAAAAGGATGTGGTTGTTGGCAAAAAAAAAAAAAAAAAAAAAAAAAAAAACACAGAAATCCACTTTTCTGCTGTTTATACACACATGACTCATGTTAACCAAATTCAAGATAACATGAACTGAAACATCTTCCTTTTACTTTAAAAAGATAAAGTTTTTTAATAGTAGTTTAGGGAACATAAAATATGATGATTAATCAAATGACTGCATCTTTGGTACATCTGATTATTTTGACCATATTTACAAGGAATTTCAGTAATAAAAACTTAACTTCTGTTCTGCTGGGATGAGCCAGGAAGCCTTCTTGCCTCATATAAATGGAGTGGCAGCTAGGCACTTCTGAAAGAAGAAACATCAGTGAAAGAGCAGTTTGGAGCTGAAAATGTTATCAATAGACAGAGCGCAGTGGGAAAATAAAAGAAACTGACATGAGTCTCCATGAAGGGAACTTGTCAACACTCAGTTAACATTTCAGGCAGGGCCCACACAAGAAATGGAAAGCTGAGGGGCACCTGGGTGGCTCAGTCTGTTAAGCATCCAACTTGATTTGGGCTAAGGTCATGATCTCAGGGTTGTGGGATCGAGCCCCATGTGGGACTCCATGCTCAGCAGGGAGTCTGCCTGAGATTCCCTCTCCTCTCCTCTGCCCCTCCCCCCTCACATACTTGCACACATGCTCTCTCTCTCTCAAATAAGTAAGTAAATCTTTTCTAAAGATTGGAAAAATGAGAAGCATATCATGGCAAACACTGGTTCTCTCCAACAGGCATGTAAATTCAAAGTTTTACCCACATTTACTGAAGGGTGGCTCTCCTGTAACTACTCTAGCCTTTAAAGGTGACTGCTATTTTTCACCCCCAGATAAAAGTATGACTGCTGTTTTATTTTGTTAGGCACACAGATCACATTCATAACGAATGAGGCTATAAAACAGAAACCCAACAATTTCATAGCAAACACCATTATTACAGCAGGAATGAGGCCTTGCCTACCTGACCAAGTTAACTCATCACTGAGAAAATAAACTTGGTTAATGGTTAAACTAGAGTCATAGTGACGGCTGTGTATTTAACATGTTTAGTAGCTTACATAGAGGGAAAAGGAAAGAAATATGGATGAGGAGGCAAAAGATTAAAATTCAAGTCCTTAATTTACTAATAAAGCTACATGACTTTAGATAAGTCATTCTGTATCTAAGATTATATAAAATAAAGGGTGGGATCAGGGTTATCTAAAATCCATTACAGGCTCCAGTTCTTTGATTCTGAAAATAAAATGTCATTCACAGGAACAGAGGTTGATTTCTGGTGAAACCAATGCAATTCAGCTTTAGGCAGGACCCTCCACTTACAGGAATCCCTTCTGATGTCCTACACCTCATTTTGTATATGCTATTTTTCTTTCAGAAGGTTCCCCAAATTTTATGTTTTAGTTCCCACAAACCTGTATATTACATATATAACAGATCCTATAGGAATTTATAAATATATATGACTAAATAAATTCTATCCTCTTCATGTACACTCAAGATTTTGAAACTTTTAACACATACAAAACTTGTAAGATATATATGACAAATGTCCTATTTAATATAAACGTATGTCCTCCATTCTGCCATTTGTAGTAAGCACATAATTTCTGAACAAGTAATAAAGAATATTTATATGACGTGGGGTCTAAAGCCCCTTATCTCTTCTTAACTATCCAAACATAGATTTTCATGTTATAACAGATAATTAGTATTATTTCTTTGACCTAGAGGTCATTCTTTCTTGGTATGGAGTGTTCCATTTTTAAAGTCTACCTGATTTTTTCAAAATTTGCCTGGTGACTAATATCAATCAAAATATGAGATAATGTTTTCACAGAAAAAAAGTTTACGTGGTTTGAGTCAAAAATATCTATTTTTTTTAATTTTTATTTTTATTTATGATAGTCACACAGAGATTGAGAGAGAGAGGCAGAGACACAGGCAGAGGGAGAAGCAGGCTCCTTGCAGGGAGCCCGAGGTGGGACTCGATCCCGGGTCTCCAGGATCGCGCCCTGGGCCAAAGGCAGGCGCTAAACCACTGCGTCACCCAGGGATCCCCTGAGTCAAAAATATCTTAATTGTAATTCCTAATAGAAATAACACTTAAAAATATGTAGAAATCAATAGCTTATGAGTTGAAAACAATATCAAACTCATTATCAAACATTTTAGAACACCATACCTTTTTTATATAACATATTATCTAGTATGTAATTCTGACCCCACAAAAGACAGAGTTAATCTTGTTTCCTGATATCAGGAAACTTAAAATGGGGTTGCAGAGTAGTTGAACTTCTGTTACCAAATTTAGCAATCCACTTTATCCATACTTTTTAACCAGGGGTACTTCAAATTAATTTTTAACGTTATGTTGATTTATTGCTAGGCAAGGACCCTCAAAGCAGCTGGGCCTAGAAGGGACAGTGTTAATGACTCTGCCATCAGCTCAGCAGCTGTTTAGAGGTAAGAATTTTGTTGTACCAATGTTGACACCCTGCCACAAAATACTTTTACTGACTGCAGCCCAGCTGGAGTATGGCTGTAAAAACAGCTGGCTGGCTCTGGAGGCAGCTAGAGGAAAACATATAGATTAAACTCTATTATATATAAGTGTGACTAAATGTAGTCTTTCCTCCCCAGAGAGGGAGAGAAAGAGGAGGAGAGGAAATGCAAGCTTTTGTAAGAAACCCACTATTCAAAGTCAAAGAATATCTTATAAAAGTACTCTAAACATAATACAAAATAAGCATAATCTTGGACATTTGGTATCAAAGACAGAATTTGATGATCATTTCACTAATCCTCATGTATCTATTGACCTTACTGATTTGTTATTTATTTTACTAATTCTGTAATATTTTTCATAAATTCCATTATCGATATGACATTTAAAGAATACGAATTTAAAATTCATAATAAATTAATGATTTACAATAAGGCTAAAGCCAGAACCTCCATTATGGTTCCAGAGGCCAAACTTTGATCTAAGTTCTAAGAAAAGCCATGAAGGAAGGGCAACTTAAGAAAAAAATTATATATATATTTATATATATATATATATATATATAATATATATATATATATATATAATTTTGTTTTTGCCATCCTTAATACTACGTATTGCACTCCAGAGTAAATAAAATTAACATCTAGCTCTTGAAATTGAAACACGTGGCTAGCATTGCTTAAATCCAGTCTAACCTCAAAATCGGTATCCTTTATACAGTCCAGAGAAGCCTGAAAAAATATGGCTAAGAGGAGTTTATTCCCCTAAAGTAACTAAAGTCATGTTATCCTAAAGTGGTATCAGTTAATTTATGACTATCAGAGTGGGTCAGACTCTAATCAAATTGTAGAAACATTTCCAAAGTGATTATTCAATCAAATGACTAACATGGTTAATTAGGAGCCATAAACATTGCTCTGAAGTTCATCAAAGTAATGACTTGCCCAGAAAAATTACTGCTAATTAAATTGCCTGCTGCTTTCATTTCTACCTTATCTAATAAAAAATCCAACCAATGAAGTTTGGCATTACATTTTAACTTTTGCTAAATGCTCAACTAAGATCCAAACTAGCTAAGTGGTGACTTCAAAGGCAAATGTTTTGTAGCAGGGAATGGAGGCACTGCATACATATGCATTTGTGTTTTTTTCATGGAATAAGCTCACAAAATCAGCAACGTTAATAAACTGCAGTTTAACTTATGCATAAATGTTACTATGACAGCATATTTATACTGTTCTATTATGTCCGCAGCTTGTAATTTTAGGATTGTGAGCACAGCACTGTGATTACAAATGTGCACCTTGTCTTCTAACACACCTGGTTTTGAACCACAGTTCAGGTATTTCCTGGGAGTATGATGCTTTGTTAGTTATTTAACATCTCCAACTCTCAACTTCTATATCTATAAAATGGGAATAATAAGGATTTCCTTCAAAGGGTTGTGGAGAGGGACCATAAGGGCAACATTTAACTCAATGCAAACGGTGAGGATTCAAGATATGGTGCTTCTCATTAATAACAGAAACTATTTTTAAGTGACCCTCACGGGACACCTGGGTGGCTCAGCGGTTGAGCCTCTGCCTTCCGCTCAGGGCATGATCCCAGGATCTGGGATCAAGTCCTACATCGGGCTCCCTGCGAGGAGCCTGCTTCTCTCTCTGCCTATGTCTCTACCTCTCTCTGTGTGTATCTGTCATGAATAAATAAATAAATCTTAAAAAAAAAAAAAAGTGGCCCTCACAAGTGAGTGAACCACAGGACTTAAAAATAATTACATATTTAAACTATTTTTATATTGTAATTTGCTGTTCTTAAAACAATAATCTACTGAGAAAGCTGATTTGTTGCTTATTAGTGTACTTAGTGATATTCTTCACAAATCTATTAATCTATGATATTTAAAATATATTGTTTTAAAATTCATTATAAATTTATGATTTACTAGGTTTAAGTGAGAATCTCTATTACATTTTCAAACTATTTGGAGGTATCTCTTTTGAATTTCTATTTACAATGTCATACCTTGATATTTACTGCTAAATGACTTTTGTTTACAAAGTTTTAAATTCAGGGGTGCCTGAGGCTCAGTGGATAGCATCTGACTTTGGTTCAGGTCATGATCTCAGGGTCATGGAACGGAGCCTGGGATGGAGCCCCCTGCAGCCCCAATTGCACCGTGTGCTTGGTGGGGAATCTGCTCGCTCCTCTCCCTTTACCCCTCCCTCCCACTCGCGTTCTATCTCTCTCAAATAAAAAAATAAATATAAAAAGTTTAAAAGTCAGTCTATAAATTGCATTATGAAAATTTAAGACAAATGATTTTGTATCTTTTTGAAACTTAGGTAGGGATCAAAAAAGTACTACGTGACACTTAGCATGGGCCTAGTCAGCTTGCAGAAACTAAACTGCCTATAATTTGTCACACATGAATTCAGGGGATGCTTAGCCAATTCAATATGCTACAAAAATTTAAAGCAGTAAAGCACCGTTCTCATTGTAATGCACCCATGAATATAGGGGCAGTTAAAAAGAAGAGTAAATAAACACCCCAAACTATCTGATTTGATTAGTTTGCACCTTTAGAAGCAGGGTTAAAATTGCCTTTCAATTTGCAGGTATGAAACTAAAAAGTTGACTTTTCTGTCTCGAATTTTAAAGCCATAATGGGAAATACAGGGCTGACTTGGGGGACTTCACCAAAGGTTTGACCACAAAGCGGAGTTTTGAATTTGCACACCTTCTATAGCCATACACTGCTCTGATTTGCAGATTCATATACTGCCTAGAGGTACAGAA